ATTCGCCCCTTTGCGGGCAAGAGAATTCGAAGTGAAGAAAATTGCCCGAAAGCCTAAGAAGAGTTGGAGCTGCAGCCCGAAAGTCGAAGAGAAGTTAAAGTTGCAGACCGGACAGGCAGAAGAGTTGCAGGCCGGACAGGCAGAAGAGTTGCAGTCCGGACAGGCAGAAGAGTTGCAGGCCGGACAGACAGAAGAGTTGCAGGCCGGACAGGCAGAAGAGTTGCAGGGCGGACGGCGAGACAGTTGCAGGCCGGACAGGCAGAGAAGTTGCAGTTGGAGTTGGGTTTGCGCCTTGGACGAAGAAGAAGTTAACTTGCAGTTGTGACTAGGAGAAGTTGGAATCACACCAAGCCTATGAAGAGAAATTCGTCCAGGACAAGTCGAAGTGAATAAATTCATCCAAACTCAAGTCGAAGTGAATAAATTCGTCCACCCGAAGCAGAAGAGAAGTTAATTCGCGCACTGACAGCGAGGGAAATCAGCCGTGAACGACTGGTAGAGATCAGCGCCCAGTGTCGAAACCAAACCACACCCCGAAATGCAAATTTCTAGAGAACAAGCAACTCGAAGTCTTAAAGTTGTATGATAGAAGCTTGTTACAGTCCACAAAACGGGTCGGGAGGTAGGAACAATTTTGTGTAACGAACATTTAGATATAAAAGGTTGTTACCCTTTTTTTTTCAATAATTTTTGACCTCGTGAGTTTTTCTTTTACTTGTGTGTTATCACACCCGTTGAACCCAGCTGGCATAGGGGCCCGTCTGTCTAAGATCTAATCACAACGTGGGTAGGCAGACCGGAGATCAGTACAATTTCCCTAGTAACCAGGCGTTGGAAGCGAGTTGGGAACGACGAGGCTGGTATTCATCTATCCAAAGGGTTAGAACGTCACACTTGGAGCAGCGAGGAGCGAACAGCTGACGCCGCGGCAAAGACGTCTGTGGTGCTGTCCGTGACCAGGATATCAGAGCCTGGAGAGCACGTGACGTCACAACTGGTGCCGCGAACGAGATCGAACGACACAGTCGACGCTGCGACCGGGGGGCGGGGGGCACGTCACAGAGGAGTGACTTGCGTTATTGTGATCTTTTTCTCACAAAGGGTGGCCAACTGACCTTAGTATTCTCTGCAGTCGACAAAATAAAAAAAACAATAAAAAATATAATATACCGACAATTTACCCATCGCATTCTGTACACATGAATTTGTTAAATATATCTATTCATTTTTTCTGCGAATGATCTCTAAGAAATATGTTTAGGTAGTAGTATTTTAATTTGGTCATCCTGTGAAAACGTTATTGAATTTTATTTCAAATTAATCAGTTCTTCGTGATGGAATACAAAGTAGTTAAATGTAAGCCTGAATTCTCTTTGAATTTCTGGGATGTGAAGTCATGATTGTTTACATTTATATACGGACTATTAACCTCATCTTTATTGTTGTAATCATCACAACATTTCGGCTGTTATGCTCTCTGGTTTTCTTTAGTGTTATATTGATAAGGGTAATCTTCAGGATATTCTGCACAGCACTCTCTCTTTAATCTAATAAGATAGACTGTTCTAGTTTCATAGCCTATATCTAGGGACATCGTCCAGTTATTGTTTTTAGTATATCTCAGTCATTGCTCTGACTTCTTTCACTGGTTTCAACTAAACACTACCTGACACATGTGAATTTGGTGACATTACAATTGTGAGATTAGACATGTTTTTGGTCGCATTCTAACAATTTTAGGAGGGTTGTGTTCAACAACGATATCGACATGAATATGTGACTTAATTTTTCAGGTCATAACCTACAGATTTTTAAGGTCCTGACATGAAACACTGAGTGGATCTTCCGCGGGAGACGATAAAGTCTATACTGGAATATTGGTTGAAAAATTAATCAGAAATATGAATAAATATTACGTTTTAATTTAAATGTTGAAAAACGAACGAATTTATTGAACAAACTGATGTTTACATAGCTGAGTGGGTAAGTATAAAAAAGTATTATATATATATATATATATATATATATATATATATATATATATATATATATATATATATTATTTAAAAAAAATTAAATTTAATTTGAATTTTGAATCTTTAGTTTTAATTTTATTGATCATTTTAATTCATTTTTAAAAATGACAATTAAGGTCTATTCTTAATATATTACTATTGAATATATATTCATGAATAATAAGAACGTGTAGCCTACATTAAATATATCATCTTATAAAATATGAATTTTCAGTGGTATTTTGCTTCATGCTATTCAGTTTGAGTTATTGTTTTTGTATTTCATTATTTAAATGTTAGATTTAGTTCTTGGCTTAAGTTTGTGGTAAAACAAGATTTTTTCCTGACAGTTATAGTGTTGCTTTCCTTGTTGGCTGCCATGTCATGCAAATTAAAATTTCTGCTTTAAGGCACCAATCGTTCTTTCATGAAAATTTCATTGAATGCGACAGACAAGGTACATGGATTTAGTTTTTTATACAATATCTCATGTGATCTAATTTCATTTTATTATTCAGATCTTAAAATATATAAAACTGTCTGAATGTTCTTTTTCTTACCGAGTTGTTTTGGCTATACATTTAGCTATTTTTAAGGATAAAAATTTTAATTGTTAAATAAGAAATAGATTTTTTGCATGTATGCATATATATATATATATATATATATATATATATATATATATATATATATATATGTGTGTGTGTGTGTGTGTGTGTGTGTGTGTGTGTGTGTGTGTGTGTAATGATATCGTTTTTCAAATCACGAACATGGTATAGTATTAAAGATTAATTCAAATTCCCTTGTCTGTTATTCAATTAAATGTGCATGAAGAATGATTTTTACAAAAATACATATGCATATATATATATATATATATATATATATATATATATATATATATATAATTATCTATTTAAAATATGATTCCAAATACGCTACATAAGAGGCCTCATGTTTCAAAACAAGAGCCAAAAAACTTCAATAAAATTATTTGAATTAAATTGAATTAAAGTAAGCTCTGTTCCATCTTCAAGCGGATTTTTTTTAGGAATAACTTATTTCTGAAATTTACGTGTTTTAATAGCATATTCATTATTGAAATCAAAATTTCCATGGTAACAGCCAGAGCGATTGTTTAAATAGGAAGGAGTGTTGGGTGTTAATAAGTTGAATCAGTATAGAGTTACATTCATAGATGTCAAGTCAGGGTAAGTTAGGGATGTCTAAATTTAAAACGGAAGATGTTTTCGCCTAGTCTGGTTTACGTGTGCATGGAGATTTTTTTTTTTTTTTATTTCTTTCTGAAAGGGTTTTGTGTATATAAAAGAACTGCCGTAACATTTGTTTTTTACGACTTCATAAAGGGTTAACTTTTTTGTAGGCTATTTAAACTATTTATTAGGGCTATGGATTATAAAAATTATTTTATTGCATGTTTGTTTTTATGCTAATTATTCAATGCAAAAATTTGATGATGTCAGCAAAAAACTGTTAACTCATGTCTATTGTTTAATAGATTTTTATTATTTAGAAACTTAATAATGCGCAGTTTTCCATGGAGGCACAAAGGGCATGGGTCATCCCAAGTTTTACAAGTTCTAGTCCTGTTTATAATTTTCCATTTTACTTTAGGTGTGCTATTTATTTCCTTCAAATGCCAAAAATATTTAGATAGAGAAGTTTGATTTCTTTTATTTATATTGTTGAAAGAGCACTATGCTGCCTCCATCTGGCTTTATATATATATATATATATATATATATATATATATATATATATATATATATATATATATTTGGATAAAAAATAGGCAATAAAACTTGTTTGTTTATGAAGTTCTTCCTAGCCAGATGGACCAATTTTTGAGGGTTTCTACTGTAAATCGGGACGCCGGTACAAATCGTCCTGGAATTATTTAATTTATGTTTAAATATTTCTTCAACTAGTGGAGCAGGAAAATGTAAATTTTGGGTAGAATCGTGCAGATTGCGAGATAAGCATGAAGTTTGTCATGAGTGTTCCTGATAGGTCACTTATTCAGAAAAAAGTGCTAGCCACGAAAAAAATTCAACGTGGCGGCCTTTTTTCAAGTTGGCTGCCAAACAGGCCTCTGTTTTGTTTTTGCTCAAAATCTATAGTGCAAATTATGATATAAACATGAAATTTGGCATGGGTGTTTCTTTGTAGGCCACTCATTCAGGTAAAAGTGCTAGCCACAAAAAAAAAAAAAGTATGGTGGCCACTTTTTCAAGATGGCTGACAAACGGGCCTCTGTTTTATGATTTTGATCTGAAATCATTAAATCAGTTGAATTTGATGAAATATTTTTGCTTTTTTGTCGTATCAATTCTAAATCTGAGTGAGAGAACTCAATGATTCCATTGTTTCAATTGATTTAGCATCATATAGAGCCCATATCTTATGGTGGATAATTACATGAAATGATTTAAATCGACAATCCTGAGGAAATGTTCAGTTCAATGTCAAAATTACTTTCTCTGCTAATACCCAGCATGGAAATTGTCCATATCTGGGAAAATTTCTAAAGGTCATATATTTCCTTACAACTCTCTGCATTAGAATTTCAATAAGCTAGCCTTCCAAGAATCGGCGACAAAAGTCCAGTCCGAAGTTCATTCGTTGTTGTTTACTAAATCTCAAAAGGGCAACTGCAAAGCGGAATACAGCCCGTTCCAACCTTTGAGCACTTGCATCGTCCTCCACCACATGTTATCTTACATCCGCACTTTGTCAATTCACGGCAGATATTAGAAATTGGTTCCAAGGAAGTCCAGGCAACTTTCCATTTGTTACCATCTTTCAACCATGCCCACTTGGAAGGACACGGAAGCTCTGGATCACGAACGACGGACTGCCCCCAGATATGTCCTGCTTGGAAGGCAACACGTTTGGCATGTTGCTTTACCGCTCTTTGTGTTGGCGTGATTAATTCGTTTGACATCTGCTTCCTGGCAAAGAGATCTAACCTTTTTCATCTACTGTAGTAGCTGCGCTTGACTGGTCGTACATCAGAATAACAAATGTCTCTAGAACTTGTAGATCAGACACATTAATTTCAGGAGGATAGTGACTGAGTTTCCGAAATGTAGCCGAGGCATCGTTGCAAACATTCCATGTCTGCCATGTTTTTTTTTCATTTGCCATTGAATCAAGATACCATATCACATCAGCGAAACGCATGGAAGAATAATATCCCTTCGGTTTTTCTGGTCCCAAAGAAGATGCAAGGTCGTGTATTGGGATCCATCGAGAGTGCTCTCCCTTGCCATACGCGATCCACATTTTCTCCATGCCCATTGCAGTGAAAGAAGACATCAGGCTTAAGCCTATGACTACAGCGTCTGTGTCATTAGCTTCCATTATGAGAGACTTGTGTCCATCCTTAACCGCATTCCAGGCATGCAAAGATATCCGGGTATCTGCCTCTTCATGTGTGCAAGGAGCCAATTCGTCTATCTTAGTATCAGGATGGCTGGAACTTGGTAAAGCATTTTCCTCTCGTGTTACAATTACAAGGAGATTCAACAGCTCTGTTTTGTTGGCGCTGTCTCTTAGAAAGCTCTTCCAATTAGTCGGTGTTTTGCCCTTTGCCGTTACTCTCCTCCTGATTGCTTTTCCGCGTTTTGATCGTGCTTCAGACTTCAGACTAGACTCATGATAGACATCAAAAATGATATCTGTCCTTTTGTAATTGCTACTGTGGTATTGCACCTTAGGAAGAATATCCTGTCTGGCATATTCTTCAAGCCTCTTCGGTGTCCTAGGCGTTACTGTATTGACTAGAAAGGCACTATCTACTATGAGTACGTCAGTTTCTGGCTTCGTGAATGTAAGCTCCACCTTGGTTTTCAGGACGTTTACGAGATCAGACTTGGTAGCGACATGTAATTTGCCTCACTTGCTGAGTGACGGAGGGAAAGATTGGTTCTCACGTTTGAAAAACTCTGGTAAATCACACCCTCTGCTTTGGCAGGAGATGAAAAGGTGGGAGAACAGTTGACAATCCTCCTTTAGTAGCTGTGTTTCTGATTTCTCTGTTGGATCTGAGCTTGTTTTGAAGAAGTTTATTATTCCGTTTGATTGGCTGATAGAAATGCTGACTGTCGGCCTTGAGTTAATCCATGAATGTTTGGAATTGCTCTTTCTCTTTCCCCAGATGAGATGCAACCAGCAGCGCTGCTGTAGGATCAGCAATGTCCTTACTGTCAAGCAACAGTAGATCAGTGGACTCCTCTGAAAATGGATTGCCCATTTCTTCTATCACACTTGTAAGCCGCTGAACCTTTTCAAAGAATGCCTTCTGAGCAGTTGGCAACTGGTCATGCTGATGACTTCCTTTCTTCGCCTCTTTGCTTCCCGATACGGCTTCATAGTCAGTAACGAATTTGCTAATTTCTGAACCAGCCACCACCCACCACCGAAGAGCTGATGGATCCTCTTTCAGACCAACAGCTCCCGCGTCCCCTTTGATGACGGCATTGGTTTGTTCATGGGCTTGGTCGATTGCCATTGCAGAGAAATTCTAGTCAGTTTTATGAACCACGAAATTTCCATTGTGGAATTCTCTGGCGACCTTGGAGTGCTGCTTCTCTAATGATATCATATCACGCAGATGAATAGGAAGACATCTTGCATAGTTGACATTGTTGTTGGCAAAGACGTAGGGTATCAGTTCCGACAGCAATTCTCGATACAGATTGAAATTACCTTTTCTAAATGCTCGCACCAGTGTTAAGATTATCAATTCCATGTTCAAAATAGAAAACCAAAATGCGAACTGTGGACTCTCCTTCTTTCGACTATCACACCATTCCACAAAGCTGGACGCCTTCTCATCGCCTTCAGAATGTTCGGCAAGTTACGAACTGTAGACTTTCTTCAGGAGCTGAGGCAAACTGCATGCTGTTACCTGATGTGCTTGACGTGTTTTAGTGACATTGGTTGCCGACAGGGATGAATCTACAGTTCCGGAAGAGGCTACATCATCTTCAACAAGGGCACGTGTCCATCCACTGTCTGCTATCATCGACCCAATACACTTCAGTGCTGTCATCTTAATGTGTATCCCACCAAACATGATCACAAACTTATCTTCTCCATATTCCTCTGGCAACTACCACTGTATTTCTTTTGCCATGGCATAGATTGGTTGATCATCTGCCAGGACGGGAGTTTGCCCTGTGTTAAGAAATGCTACGGCTTCCCTTACTTTCTTCATGGCATGCTTTATTGTGGCAAAGCTGTGACCTTGATCTCGGAGAAGAGGTAGCAAGGAAGTGATGCTGGTTTCACATTCGCTAGTCTGTTTCTGGCTCGCATAATGAGCTGACCATGTTATATTGGATTCATCATCTACATCGGTGTTACCTTGAACATTTTCCAACCATTCGTATTCGACACTTATGTTCCTTTAGAAGAGACTGGGGTCAGACAAGGAATACTTCATCTACTGAGACTGGGGTTTGGTTTCTTCTTGAAGTAGGCTGGCGCGATATTTGTACAACTCTCTGGAAGCTCAGGAACCTTTCTTGTCCTACTGTCTGTTATTTTCGGTGAAACCCACTGTTCTCCTCTGTTTTGCTTACTTGGGTACTGGAACATGGATATACTTGTACCATGGAATGACCTGCTAGCTGTGGGGGCCGTGGGATTGTGATCAATGTTGTCGACAGAGGCCGTAGTGAACAGCCTTTTTCGCAGCACTGGTGGGCACACATCTTCTTCGACATACTGTTTTATCACAGTTTCACCAAGCTTGCCGGATATCTCTAATACCCTAATACGATATGCTTAGTCCATGCTCATGGAATTTGTCAATCAACTCTCTTTTTCGTGTCTTGGCGCACACCTTCAACCCAACATAGACAGCAAAAGGGGTCTTATGGTCTTTAGAATGTATTTAGGTTGTCAATCCTTCCCTACGTTTTGAGTAGCAGTTGAACTGTAAAAGCTGAGCAATAGCTATGTCTGACTTCGCTATTCCATGCTTCAGATGTGATTTTATATCAACACCATGTTCAATGCTGCACACAAACTGAAGAAGTGCAGGTGGGATAGCCTCCTCACCAAAGCTGTCTTTGAGGTCGCTGCTGAACTTTGTCTTGTGCTGGAGCATTTTTTTTCTCAGGATATCTGCTGCCTTAGATAGATGGAGAGCATTGCTATACTGGCTAGCTTCATGGATCCCTGGTTCTATGTCCGCTTTGAAGGCAAGGAGTACACCACGTCCCTTCTTATGGGCTTCAAGTTCTGGAATCCTAGCAAGTAGATGTTCCTTCAACCTGGTAGAGTGGAAATTCGGGGAATCAACTCCAATCTATTCCAAGCAAAGCTTGTAGATTGAGGCTAGGTCAGCAAGCCGAATTACAACCGGTGCCGCTTCCCTGTTGGTGATTTTGCTATCCACGATGTAGATAACTAATTTTGAAAAGGCCACTGGGTATAAATACTTCCCTGGATCACAACTTTCTGCTTTCTCTAGGGAATTGAGGTACGCTCTTTCAGCATTGTACACATTTTGGAGGCATCGAAGGTGGTACTTAACCTCCAGGGTAACAACGTCTACGCCACTTAACTTTGCAAGGAGCTTTCCATCGTTCAGGTTTCTGGTACATTGATTGAGGTGTTCATTTAGTCCCTCTGTCATCTTCTCTTGCAGATTCGCAATAACATCTTCTTCACAGGAGAAACATTCCACTTTTGGAATGTCTGCAGATTTTCGTCTCTTTCTTCGAGGTTCAACTTTTGCTCCGGAGGTGCTCGGGGCCACTCTTCTTTGCTTTACTCTTTCTAACTTGATGTTGTTGAACAGCAATCGTCAACTCTGATGATATTTAGATCCATTTCGAACCAGAGTGGTTTCTATATCTTCACCTTCATCAAGCCTTGAAGGGTCAAGTGCTATCAGCATATCATTGACGGCATAAAAACAATGGTAGACTTCTTGCAATATTACTGTATCCAGCATAAACTTGCTTCTTGTGGAATGAACTAAGAGGTGAAATGAGGGTTTCTTTGCTTTTTTTCCTGCTGACAAAGGAAGCCTTTGCTCCAATCAGTTTTCGATGTGGAATCTTTATCCATCATTTGACAGGAATGGCCGAGGGTTTATCATTTTACCCCCGTTGGCTCACTTTCATGTATGGGATACAACTATGTTCACGCAACTGCCCTAGCCCGATCATTCATCCAGTGCCATTTGAATCCCGTGCAATCTGTACACGGTCCAGATGACTTCAAAAGCCCCTGTTATCCTTGGTTCGACTCTCCCACGTTGGCACAACCTGTCCATTCAGCTACGTCTATCTAATATGTTAGGGGCTTACTAGATAGAATTTGGGATACTAAACTCCATGTTTAACTGACATTGAACCCCATGCTGAGTTCCACAGCAGTGTCTGTCACCAGTGTGCCCTGGTAGTGAGTGACATACACTATCTTCATATCTCCTCAAATTTCAATTTGAATGTTGTCTCCTAGATGAACTGTCACTACTTGTCCTTATCAATTAACTTCCCTACTCTGCCTCATCGATGAACTGCCACTATGAGGCACTGGCTGTCATCTTGAAAAAATGTCCGCCATGTTGAGTTTTCACAATGCCAGAACTTTTATCTGAAAACAGATCTGCAAGGAAAATTCCTGCCAAATTTCAAGCTTATATCACAATTTGTAATATGGTTTTTGAGTAAAACCATGAAACAGAGGCCCGTTTCGCGGCCATCTTGAAAAAAGACTGCCATATTGAATTTTTTTCGTGGCTACCACTTTTACCTGAATAAACTACCTACAAGGAACACTACTGCCAAATTTCTTCTTTATATCAAAATTTGCACTATGATTTTTGAGAAAAATGCTTGAAACGAAGCCCGTTTGGCAGCCATCTTGAAAAATCACCGCCATATTGGATTTTTTTTCGTAGCTAGCACTTTCTTCTCAAAAAGTGACCTATTAGGGACAATTATTCCAAATTTCATGGTTATCTCACAATTTGCACAGTGGTTTGCATAATCTGCTCCACTAAATGGTATAAGAAATAAAGTAACGATTGAAATAACCGGAAAATTTAATAAAAAATCAGAATCCGCTAGAAGTATCATTGAAAGAAATAAAAATAATTCGAATCAATAAAAATAATTCGAAACAAAAAAACAAAACATCATTATTTACTTAGCTTAGTGTAGGTTTGTCTTAGGAAGCTGTGATGTTATGACTGTCGAAGAAATATTAACGAGTAAAAAGTCCTTTAATGTCTGATCGAATGTTCACTCATTATGAAGCTTTTCTTAGACGAGGTGTTAAAAATGCAGTTCAAGGTGTGCTATAATTATGGGATGAATTGTTTATAGAGATAGAGCGTCTGGAAACATAAATATAAATGTGAACATTGAAGTGTTTCTTTTCTTTGTATAGGTGTGTGTACAAACGGGCGGTTTATAGGTTTGCCGGGCACATAGCTTTTGCGTGTACACGGATGAAGCTGCAATCTTTTGACATAACACAGAAGAATGCACAAACACCGATGGATACACACGCACAAACTGTCTCTCTCTCTCACACACACACACACACACACATATATATATATATATATAGATAGATAGATAGATAGATAGAAGCTTCAATAGGATTTACAGATCCTATATAATTCGCCCTGAAAATCAATCCAAAATAGCGGACATGCCGTGTTGATTCTTATATCTATACTTTCTGTATTTTTCAATGGTCTTCACCCTATGCCTATATAAATTACGAACACAAACACCGACACTACCACCACCACCACTATCATCATCACTACCACAAACTACAACAGCGGATGAAAGAGACTACTTAATTTTTTCAAATGCACGAACACACATGTAAGACATTCCTGTGACGCTGTCTACTACTCGGAACACTTCGTTAAATTACGTGTGAATAAAAAAGTAAAAAAAAAAGAACACACCCTTTCCTTTGTTCACTTATACAGAAATATACCACGAAAAAATGCTTAGCAAATATACTGTTCAGTATATTTCATCTTACTGAAAAGAAGCCGGGTGGAAAAAATATATGCAAATTTTCTGCAAGCATGATCCAGAAAGAAAAATAAAAGTAGCTGCGTTAAAAAATAAAAAAAAAAATAGACAAACAATTCTCTGAAATTGTAGCAAAATGTACACCGCATTTCCAGTATTTTCCATCGTGGGAGATCGACCTATGGAAATATACTGTTGAGATCAACATTGGATCTGAACTCTAATGGAGTCAGTCTGACGGTGACCGAACACTCACCGGCTAAATTTCATTAGGTGAGTGCTGGCAAATTGAAAACCTGTCTATTGCTTGTGAGTCCGCAATTTAAGAAACGTTGACTGTGTGATCGTAGACGTTGCTTTAATATCCGCGGAATCTGAAAGTTTTCTGAGAAAGAGTTGCAGAATATTGAATGGGAAATCATTCTGATTCAGGAACAGATGTCTGAAAATAAAATGAATAGTGGGATTAGGCGTGTTCAAGTCTGAAGAATTAAATGGATGTCGTGACATTTTAGAGATAAAAATAAAAATACCGTATCTTCTAAAATCCTTTACTCAAAATGTATACAATCTTTATCGATACCTATCTATTTGTAAACTAAATTGATTTTATGAGCATTGCTATTGTTTGATAATTCTCAATACATTTTCCAATTTTCCTTTCAGTGATCTCTAAGAATATTCAGCTACGCTAGTTTTGCGAGCCCACACCGTCTGCGCGTCTGGCTGGTCGATCCCTGTCGCAGGTGCCTGTTCTGGTACTTTGATATTTTTCCCCCAACAGAACCACAAGCGTAGTGTATACATCTTTTCTGAGTGGATGTTAATCATAGCTTCTGGCAGAAAGACAATAGTCTGTGTAGACAAGGCCAGCATGTGCAAAACATCGATGAAGATATCTTCGTGCATCCGCCACGCTGACGTATATCGATCAGTCCGCTCTAACCAATTTCAGGCATAATCCTTGCATCTATCGGTGGTATGTTTTTCAATCAGCTTACAAAGG